CCCCCTCTCTCATCCTCCCCTCCTATCTCCCCCCTCTCTCATCCCTCCCCCTATCTCTCTCTCCCCCCTTATCTCTCTCCCTCCCCGTCACCTCTCCCCCTATCTCTCTCCCACCATCCCTATCTCTCCCTCCCCATATCTTTCCACCCCTTTTTCCCTCGTCACTGCATTTTCCTCACCCCACATCCCCATCATCGCACTCGAGGGTGCTCCGGGGACTCGCACACCGACCCAACCTGTGACGCACCCAGCTTTTCAACCGGCGCGACCCAGTGGTGGTCGCGTCGCGCGGAACCCTCACCCCCCTATAGTCCCCCCTCTCCCTTTTCCGGGAGGGTCGGACCACAGGGTCGCGGGTTCGCGAACCCCACACCCCCCTATAATCCCCCCTCGCCCCTTTTTGGGGCTGCTGCGGGGTTCATCAGGGGATGATACGGGATTCTCGCGCGTATCTCTCCTCTCAATCGAGATTGAGGGGAGCATACCTGCCTGGGGTCTCAAATTCGAACGGATGTGATTCCGTGCATACCTCGTTCCACAGCGTCAACAGTCACGCTATTTTGCGTTTTGTGTCCGGAGGTATGAATCGAACTCGGTACCCTGTTGACATGAAGCTAGCACGCTAGCAATACGCCAACACAGGCCACATCGATTCTGCTTTTTTTCGGCCTCATGACCTGTTAGTTTATTAAATCCAAATTTTATCTTTGTGCTATCTTACAATAAATAATAAATTCCACGCTTTCCATTTTTTGTCCCGAGGTATGGTTCGAACTCGGCACTCTTTGGGTACGAATCCATCACTCTACCAATTACGCCAGCACAGGCCACGTCGATTCTGCTTTCTTTCGGCCTCATGACTTGTTAGTTTGTTATATCTAACTTTGTGTTATTCAACAATAAGTAAATACCACAACGTGAACAATACTCTTTTTCGTCCTGAGGAATCATTCGAACTCGGTACCTTTTTGCTACGAAGCCATCACTCTACCAATTACGCCAACAGAGGCCATGCAAACCAAACCTTTTTCTGGCCTCATGACTTGTTAGTTTGTTATATCTAAATATTAACTTTATGTTATTCAACAATATATAAATACCACAACGTTAGCCGCACTGCTGATTTCCGTTTTATGTCTGGAGATATGATTCGAACTCGGTACCCATTTGGTAAGAGACCATCACTCTACCAACTACGCCAACACAGCCTTCACCGACACAGCTTTTTTGGCCATGTAACCTGTTAGTTTATTGTCGCTTAAAATATAAATTATCACCTACTTTTTGACATGTTACTAACGTGATCGTCGTGGCGTCGCGCATTGGATGGAGGGATCTATGAAGAAGACAGGATAGCAGGATAGCAGGATCGAGCCATGGTAAGATGAAGCAAGGTAAAAATTTCAGTTCTTGACGTAGGTAAGGTTGTGTACAGTAAGGTAAGAAATAGGTGGTGACGTGAGCGCGGTAAGAATCTTAATATAGTTGACGTAATAATCACACTAATAAAAATAGAAGTATGTTAATAATAATGAAGATACTATTCCGTAAAAAAAGAAAAAAGCGAGATTGAAAAGAAATGTGACCTATATGGATACTTGAACTTATTCCTTTGTATAAGTTAATGTTAAGTGAAACTGACCAATATTTGAAGTTTATTTATTAGAATGAATTGATCACCATTCTTAATAATATTATATTGAAATTTATAATTAGTTGCTGTGCAATTAGTTACAAAAAAATCTTAGACTATCGACTGAATATATTCGAGTATTAAAATACACGGTTAACTTGATTAAATTATTATTATAAGTAAGTAGTATTATATGTAATATTTAAAATATTAAAAGTTAAAGTTACATTAACTTTATTGAGTATAATAGAATTTTTTCAAGTTGAAACCATAGTTTATCAAGCAAAAACGAATATATCATACGAAGTTTATTTCAAGTATTAAAAACGCCATCGAAAAATTAATGAGCATAATTCTGTTTAAAATAACATCATTGGATTTATTTAAGTTTGTAATATTAAATATGTACATAGTATGTTACATTAAACATATTTATAGCTAAGAAAAAGTACATTATTCAATCAAAGATGGAAGAGAACATACAAGATTTAAACAAGAAAAGACAATGGTCCAGCACATTAAATGTTTTAATGCACTCAAATAACACGAAAAAATGGCACAAGGAGTTTGATCAAGCAAGGCACTCAACTTCACTTCATGTCAATAAGCTCTATAAAAATTTACACTGCAATGAATTAGTTATTGATTATTGCAATAAATGAATTAGTGTAAAATAAATTACATTGTCTTACACAAACTTTCAGTTTTTTCAGTACATTTTTTTGCTTTTCCTTTGAAGTGATTTCTTAAATGAACAATTTGTTAAATATCGTTACATTTTTATATAGGCAGACACTTCTAAAATATCAAGGTCTAGGCGGTTTTTAAAAGTATGACCCATATATGAAATGATTATTAACCCTTTGGAGACAGGACGGATCCAAGTGTACCGCACCGTGGTGACGAATAGTAATAGTAATATCTCTAACTTATAATTGTTAAATTAAATTATGATAAATTTTTGCTTGGTAGCTATAGGAATAATAGAATGAGGTTTTATAAACAACTTTTAGATACAAAGGTCTTTATTAGATAAAACTAATTAGAATTATTTATTACTTTTTTCATTAAAATAGTATAAAATCTATGATAGAATGTGAGAAAAGCTATGCTTTTACGTTCAATATTCAACCTTATGTACTAACTAGATTCTTAAAAATTAGCTGTATTCTTAAAAAAATAGCCTTAGTATTTAAAATGGTTAAGGTCATTAAATTATACTAAATAAAGACACACGTTTAGTGTAAATACCTATATTTCTGACTTTTATCTTGATTATTTTATCTACAATGCTCTATACTTTTTTATCCAATTTATATGTGACAAAACTCTTGTAAATGCAGTATATTTATGAGCATCACAAGTACCATCTTTCATAGGACCGACTGAAACAATTCCTCTAAGAAAGTATACCGGTTCATCTCCATTGTAAATCGGTATTGCCAAACCACCGCCACTGTCACCTTTACAAACACTTGTTCCTGAGAAACATAAATATTAGAACACATTTTTACCTTCTAACTATTCTTGCAAACAATTAACCATTAAGATATCCTGCACAGAATTTATCAGCAGTGATGAAAGGTCGAAAATCAGGAGGGCTGTGCTCAAGACATGTTTGTCGGGGAACTGTTGGCAGTATGACATATTTTAATATTGAGCTAACATTTCCACCTTCAGTAGTTAGTCCCCATCCTGCAACCTAAACAAAATTAAATAATAATGAACATAATAATTTAATACAGTTTTTAAAAGGTTGCCTACATATTTTTTAAAATTTTGAAATTAAAAATGTAATTGAAAAATATAAGATAATTTGCATTAGGATAGAAGTTCTAATTACAAACTATAATAAAGTAAATAAATTAGCTTCTTAATATTATTTGATACTGTCGTTTAAATGTAGAAGAATAAAAAATTAAATATTAGAATAACATCTCTAATATCTCAGAATTATTTGATCTGAAATAATTTCAAATGCAATTTTATTTATATTATTATAAATAATTGCTTTCGAGTGTTTATAGAACTGTTGCAATTATTTTAGGAGAAAAATTGATATCATTTATTGTGTATTGAAATTGATATATTTATTCATCTATTGTTTTATATTAAAAAGATATTGTGGTGTATATATATATATATATATATATATATAATACACGATTTTATGACATAGTTCACGGAAATAAATATATAAAATAAATAAGTAGTTTAATAACAATTAAAAAAGTTTACCAGTCCCTTGGTACCAGCTACAAAATCCTCTTCTACACCTTCAAAATCCCATTCTAAACAAATTGGACGCACAATTGCTGAAAACTCTAAAATTGATTGAAGCTTTAATATAGCTATATCCTGCGCGTAGTTACCTTGAATGTCATAATATCTGAAATGTTCTTTTTTTTTTTAATTGAACACTTTTAATACATCGAAATTACTTGAATTCATACGTTGGCGGTATAAGTAATCTATCTATTTCACTATATTGTGCATAATTATCATTTATATTATCCCAATCTTCATATATTTTACCAGCCACTACAGTGAAACGAGATTTGTCTATACGGTTCAGTGTTCCAGGCTCATAAAAACAGTGAGCAGCTATTTAGAAAATTATAGTTAGATTTCATAATATAATAAATGTTTTACATATGTACCTGTAATGACAAGTTTGTTTGTCACAATGCTCCCACCGCACCAAATTCCATATTTATTTAAAACATTTAAATCTTTGAGATAGATTCCAACATGCCAAGGAAAATCTTGAAGACCTGCGTCTTGCCCTTTAATGACAAGCGATATACCTTTAGGTCTTGCAACGCCGCATTCTAAAAAATACATATATTATGTATTAAAAGAAAAAACTTATATTGTGTAAACTAACCAGCTGTACATCTGTATATGCTGTAATCCCAAGTTCCATCTTCTTCACAACTTACGAAATTATATTCTGGATTATATGGTAGTCTATAACCTCTCTTGCAACTTAAGAAGGCTTTTGTGCCTGATTTTACAGGCTCATCACAAGGCACAGATAGATTATTATAAATACAATTCAATTGAACACTGCTCGAAGTTAATCCTTTGCATTTTTCTGTTGGATAAATTACAAGAATTTATAACTACATTTAATTATTTGGAAGAGCTCGCGACATGGGCTTTAAGATAAAAAATGCTAATTTTTAATTTATATACATTTTGCACGATGATAATCTAATTTTCTGATCTAGATTAAAATTTGAATGTTTTGAAAGTTTTTAAGGCTATTCAGCAAATACTTGATCTAACAATTTAAATGTGAAAATATAACCTGAAATTAACATATCAATAGTCGACTACCTGTTTTGATTATTGTTATATTATATTATATTGATATAAATCTTACTTAAACATTTTGCTGTTGTAGACCATTGGCCATTAGTACAAATGCCGGTATCGTCTCCAATTAATCCAAATCCTTCGTTGCAATTAAATTTAATTACTGACCACTCTGGAACTTTTGTACCGGGATTCGGAATGCCATCAAAGCCTCCAATTACATATTGGCCATTTTCGAGGGGTGGTGGTATAGTACACATTTGATTGATGTTACTAAAATTACAGTAAATAAATAAATATATATTGATATATATATATATATATATATATATATGTATGAATGCATATATACAACCAATATACTCACGACGATGATGAAATTCTGCCACAAAATATTGGTTGTTCCACTTCATTAGCTGTGCTCTTCAAGAAAAGTATAGATTTTTAATAACAATAATCCCTTATTATAAAGTTATGATGCATCGTCTGTATTTTCATATTTACCAAGACATCTTTAATCCAGTGAATATAATTCGAAATATCTGTGAGCAGAATTATTCCCTGAGTAGTTAAACTTATAGATACAATTCCGATTAAAGTTTTTGGTTCCGCATATGGTTTCATTACACCTGACCCTCCATAACCATAAAATGCACTATATGGTTCTAAAAATTCATATATTCATTATTATTAATTATGATTATTATACAATGTTAGCTATAATTGAATATAAAATTTTTACCCGCGTTTGGATTTCCAACACATATGTTATTTACTGTGATGTATTGTTTAAATTGGTCGTCACTCTCATCGATGCATTCCAAAGCTGGTAGTAAGGGAATTATTACCGGTTCAAGTTTTTTAAATTCAAAATCTTTATATCCTGTAAGCTAAAATCACCTATAAAAATGTAGGCGGAGCAAAATCTGTTCATATTCTATTTTTCTATTAAGTATGCCAACTTACCGTATAATTAGTTCCTTTTGGTAATTCTGTAGGCCTATTATCATTATTAAGATCAAGGCAAGCCGGTGAAATATATCGATTAAATTTAATTTTATCTTTTAATATAATCGCACCTATGTCGTCTCTGAAATTTGTTACAATACCACGGTATCTGAAAAAAAAATTTCATAAGTAATATACACCAATAAAAAATGGTAATTATTGTCGTGAAACTAAACTGTAACAGTAAAGAAATGATATTTGAGAGTAACCAGAGTGACCATCGCAAATAAAACTGAAAGCCATTAAACTGAAATTGTCGAAAAAATGAGATTATATTATCTCTAATTGCTATTATATTATCTCCACATAGTATACATACTACTTACCATTTACCTTTACATTATTTTACTTGATTTTTTAAATTATATAAATGAAGTAGAAGTCCTTTAGTCCACCTTTAGTTTTTGTAAAATGCGAAATAACTTTAGAGCTACAGCAGATTTTTGCTGCCGTTTAACGACAGATATAAAAATATAGATATTATATGTATGGTCTAGTCTGGCACAATTATTTAGTGAAAAACTCAACGTATCCCAAAAGGTCCACTCTGGTTACCAACTTCTCATAAATGTTAATTCAATAAACTACTATTAAAACAAATGCAACTATAGGCATAGTTCATAGAACCATGAAGTCATTTTTTCACACTCCATGCAGTACAAGTTAATATTTATAATTATGATATGATAATATTTCAAGAAACTTACAAAGGAAATACATTTATCTGTTTGACTTCGTAATATTGAGCATATGGTGTATTATATAATGAATCGTTCCATTTGTAAAGGCCTGTACCAACTGCTACCTTAACATAAGATGCATTAAATTTCGCTGCTTTAGCTTCATCATAAAGACAATGTGCAGCTAAAATAGAAATATTTAATTAATAACACAATTTTTTAATATTTTCAGAACTTTAATATCAATGATGAATATATAGTTGCATACTTACACGTGATTATTACATTATCGGAAATAATTGTACCACCGCAAACAATTCTTGGCTCATTTTTTGGTTTGTCATGAAATATTGTAGCAAACCACGGATATCGCCCAACATCACTTTCATTATCCAGAGGATTTACATTCCCACAAACTGTACAAAGTACAATATAAAAAAATAGCTTCCAAAACGATTATTAAATACGTTTGCTTATTTTTTTAATAATTCAACAGATATATGGTTCACAAAAATAAAAAACATTCAGAAAATTATCGAAGAAAAGCAACTCTTACTTCTACCATATTATTATATATTTTTTACAATAATTCTTTTTGTATTCTCATAAAACAGCAAACATGATACAGCAATATCTTATAGGCTTCTATTATATGAGCAGAAAATATTCAAGTTAGAATAGAAAAATTTAGTTTAGAATTCACTTCATTAACAGGAGTCTTTAGTTTTAATTTACCATAATTTAGGGCAAACTTTTACACTGGCACAAGTTGCTGTCGCATCCTATCAAATACTTTCATATTAAAATATTTATATATTTGAATAATTGTTAATTAACTTTGCTTTGAACAAATAGTGAACGGCTGCTTTTGTTCCAACTAATAATCCTTGTTTTCAAAATATATGTACAGTTACTTTTGAGCAAATAACTAGAAATGATTTCATTCAAATTATTAAATTTGTACAAAATTTAAATTATTTCACTTCTGTGTTAATATTTCACAAAAAATATAAAAAAAATTATTACATCGTCTAAAAAACCTATGCCAGAAAATGAACTTCAATTAGACGCATTACATTTATTTGTGATTTTATTTATAGAATTATTTTTTCTCTGCTTACCAGGCTGACATGAAAATGGACACTTGTCCCAAATACCATCTTCTTCGCATTTGATACTATAAAATCCAGGATCTTCTAATTGCTGGTATCCTTCCTTGCAAATTAGATTTGCCCTGGTACCAGGAGACACGCGTCGGTAACAGGATACACCGCGTCTTTTGGAGTCCTGGCAAGTTATGGACAACGAAGGCAAGGAAAGTGGTTCACATGTCCTACAATAGAAAATAATTTTAGAAATTAAAATTTACAGTAATTTTGCACGTGTTTTCTAATTCAGTACAATATTTTTTGTTCATAATTTTAATTTAATATAGCAAAATTTATACCTGTTGGCAATACATTCGTTACCGGAACAGTTTGTTGTCTCCCGACGAAGCCGCAATGAATTCGCTAAAATTATATTAATCGTCACATTACTTTATTAAAATATATCTTGTTATTTTCTACCTGTGATAACATAGAAAACACATAATATAATTAGTTGATGCACAAACATCCTCATTCGAAGAATATACAAAACTATTTGACTCGAGATCAAGGACTGTTTGCGCTTTGTGTACATCAATTATTTATTTATTATCATTATGCCGAAGTGTCTGTCGTTTGGATACAATCCGGTTTTGCCAATACATAGATGCAATCATATATTTGAATTTTTAGACGTCATCTTGGACAAATATGTTTAGTTTTTAACGATATCATTCGCAGAAAACATAGCAAATTATTTTTACTAATCGTCGGGACTGGTTTTGCCCTTCGGTGATCGACTTAATAATTTTGGTTACGTAATATTTGCCATTGACATTATAAAAATCTAAATTGAAGTTAATGACTGTATTTCTATAAGAACACTTCTATATAGGGAAAGAACGGTATATTTATTTATTTAATTATATTATAACTAGTCTCAATGGTTTTTACTCATTTTAGATTTATTTATTTATCAAAAGACTATGTTACTGGCAGAGTAATATAGTCTTTTGATTAAATAGGAACTTTATAAACATATTTAATTAAACATCTAATTATAAAACATATTTTGTCCATATAGTACATACCGAGATACTAATTGTTAAGACCACAGTACATACAATGCACATCATAATCAGCACTTTAAAAGTGAGAAAAAAGGAAACATTCATTATGTGGTTGCAATGTACGAGTGGAAAGGGTTTTAACAGATTTCAATTTTTTTCTTGGCCTCAAATGAAATTCCCTGTAGTGCTTGCAAAATAGTACTATGTCATTTTGTCCATTGTATAAGTAGTCGTATAGGCCCAAAAGTGAACAAAATGAATAAAAAATTGAAATTCCATCAAATGCCTGATAATTGCAATATAATTTATCGAAATCACAGGCAAAAATTTATTGATTTTAATAGAAATAATTACAAATCACAAATTGATATATAAAATTAACGAATTCCAAAAAACATGACAAAACCACCTTAAAAATAATCTTTTGACTATGATAATAACGCTCAACATGTAGCAGGATTGTGATTATGGCTTTCTTCGTATTGTACATATGAAAACGTTCCTAAAATTAGTCAATTTTTACCATTGTGTCATTTTGTGAAGTTCGCATTTCCTCTACAACCATGAATCTATTTTTTCATTTGAGTTTTCCCCATGCCTACTTATTTAGACACATCCCCTAGTTTTTTTGTTTCGCTTTCGTGTGTCAATCACAATAAATTAATTCAAATTTTAATTTTCGTATCATGACTTACTCATTGTTTTTAAAAATTTATACTCATCTGATTTGAAACAAAATCAAATCAAACACACACATTTTTATACAAACACATAATTTTATATACATTAGTTTTTTTACATACTGAAGTAAAATGTATAGTCGTAGCACCAGAGCGGACGTTTCATCAAATTTGAGGACCCGTGATAAATCCAGCACACCTTTTCCAAAACCTTCATCTTCAAAATCGAGCATTCGCTGTAATAGTACCTCCGAAAAATCCATCAACTTTGTACAGGTTGGAATTAATGTATTATTGATACATATGAATTATATAGGTGCATATATAATGAATAAAATTTTAGGTAAGTAATTATATATGTCTCCAGATATATCTTCACATTGAAGCATATATTTTTTCTATATACGTTAAAGTAATTTCAGTATAATATATAAATGAACGTAGCAATACATCATTTAATTAAATTTTTCACTTTTAAACAGAATAGAAGATAATTTTACGAAAAACAAGTACAATTATCGTTATTTTTGACACTTTTATGCTAATCCTAAGAAAAACAGCTGGTCTGATTCGATCGGTTTTCATCTAAGTATAACTTATTATTAACTTCCCTAATTTTTTCCAGAAAATTTCATTTTCTAATTTTTTTATTTCATATTTCTTCGAGTATTGAAAAAATTCTAAATAGCTTGATACCAAAATTGGAGAAAGTAAGTGATTGTGTCAAAAGATTTCACTTTTTGTCGAGGTTTGTTCCCAAAACGGCTAAAACCGACATTGAAAATTAAAAAGTCATTCGATGAAACTCGATATAATTAGTTATGAGTTACCATTGGCCTTTAGAATTAGCAGAAAATTGTCCAACTTTGCGTCGATGGTTTAGCCAAAACTCTTGAACCGTTGTTGGTTGGGAATCATCGTATTTATTTTTTAAGGAAGTTTTGGTTATTTATATTTAATTAAAAATTATAAAAATGTTTTGAATTTTGGAATAATAAGCCGTGTCAAAATTTGAAAATTCTATTGTCATAATTTGTAAAGTTGCAATTGCAATTTTGTTGATCTTGATTATATACATCGGGAAGTCTTTGCAACTTGTCTCAAGGTAAAATTCCACTTAGAACTATTTGAGAATAGTTCTGGAAATAGAATTGCGTTTACATACCCACAATTGCATATCTTTTCCATTCGTGAGAGAATTGCTATTAACATCGTTAATCAGAGCCTGAAACAAAATGTATTATTATTGATTACAGGTTGGTTATGAATAAATAAAAAAATAAAGTTATAAAGTTAAATAAAATATTATATTCAGTGCAATTAGGTAAAAGTTGATTGTGGATTTGCGTTGCAATATATAAATATAAATAGCATTAAAAAAATCATTGCAATCGTGTTGTATTAATTCATATTTACAATAATCATGACATAAATAATTATAAATGAATATATTATTATTTATAGCAAAAGGCAAAGCCCCGATCAACTCTGACTCTTCGTCGAGAAACGCTTACCACATGTGGAGGCACTGATAATTGCGGGGACACCAAAAAATGCCTCAAAAGTAACAGCAGCCGTCCAGGCACCAGTTGTGATGTCAAATTGGATACTTCAGATGATTCTGAGACGGAAATCAGTGAAGATATGCATTATGCCGGATTGTCTCAATCTTTTGATTCTATGAAGATAGGTGGTAAATAGGAAAAATTCAATTTTTAATTAGAGAAATAAAGTAAAAAATAGAACCAACTGAAAAAAACACCCATTGTGAGATGAGCCTTATATTTCATTCACCTTTGTTTTATGTTCCTGTTGATGATCTTGAAAATTAAGCAAGCTTTTTAGAGTCCTTTAAGTTAAATGTCTTCTTATTTACACAATTATATAATGAACTGTGTTAACGCATTATTAATCTAAAAATTATTATAAATGCATCACTTTTATGTGTAATATATTAATATGAAATAATTCAATAGATCATTATGAAATATATACCAATTCAAATGACTTAGAATTAGATGAAAAACATTATCCATGTGTTACGGAACAAGTTAATTAATGATCTTTTTAAAATATATATGTGTAAAATTTTACTTCAATTTTAAAATTAATTTACGTTTCATTTTTTCAGGCAGTAAGACCTCTAGTTTTCCAACAGATTATCACACTTTACGATACAAAAACGGAACTAGATCGTCCATGACCTTCTCTAATACACGCATGAGGGAAATTGAACGTCACAATGCCATTTTATTAAGAAAGATTTTAGATAAAAAGAAAGTTGCTCCCCCGAAGCCGATGGTCAGTATTAAGTAGATAAATGAATAAATATTAATGAAATTCACTTGTATTTTTTCATTTGGACTCAAATTTAGTAAGTTTCAACTATTTTCTTGAAAATTATATCTGAATTTTAGTATATTGACAGATATCCGAAAAAAACAAGCATAAAAGAATTGAATATTAATACATGAAAAAACGAATCCCAAAATTGTCTTATATATCAATTAATATTCTTAATAACATTTTTTCATTTGTTAATATTTAGATAATTTTGGCATTGGAACTTATTTTAAGAAATAAAATGCTGATAGTGATGATACAGTACAAGTATTTCTCACGGCGTCAATAAGTGGAATTATTAGTCTGTTCATCATTAGAATAATTACTTTAAACTTAGTTAATAATCTCAAAATCAATTATTTTATTAAACTAATTTTAGAATATTTATATTTTTATTTTTCAGGCTCAAAAACCTGTCAAGGCATCTCCTACAGTGGCTAAGACCAGACACCGCACGCAACGTCAAATCAATCTGGAAAATGCTCTTTTAGATAAGCGTCTTCGAGAGGCTAAAGCAACCACCAAAACTCGAAATACTGAATAATTTGTAAATTTACTGGTGTTTTCAACATTTCAAGATTTTTTCTTAATTTTATGACGTTAATTTATACAACGATTTTATGCAGCTTTAGTTTTTGAATAAAGATGTTTTATAAAATACAAATAACATTGATATTAATAATCTAGATTACTTTAGGAAATAGAGACCAGTCGATTTTAATACGTTAATAGTCATGCCAACCATATGTGTCTGACACTAATAAGTATCACATGAATTATGTCAGACTTGGATGAAAAATTATATACTTTTCTGCTAATTATAAGGCTTGGCCGATTGTCGCGTATTATAAGTATTATAACAGCTAGTCTTAGCCTTTTGATGATGTAGCATTTCTAAACTATTACTTGATATTTTATCAAATACAGCTGTGAAGGCTAATTTTGTCGTCATCTGTAAAAAAGGGCAAGATAACAAAGTTAATCAAATTAAAAAACAAAGGATAATTTGAAATCTATTTTTATTAGAAGACTTTTCGATATTAGTTTGTAATTATTAGTTAAGTGTACAACATATAGTGATACATTAACGTATATTAATTAAAACTATTCGAATATCCTAATTATGACAATTATACTTATAACTAAAATGCAACTTTTTTCCGCACCACCCATGAGGTAAAGTTGCTAGGCGCGTTTTTTTTACTGTGGTATCGCCACAGTTATAGATACATTTCATATTTACGTATCTAACATTTCGGAAGGAAATGGATATTGTGTAAATACTACTAAGTATCGATTACTGCAGCCCTAATCCACCTAAACTAACTTATAAACTAATTATACCTAATTTACATGCTAATTATACCTAACTGACCTAAGTGTTACGCGAAAAGAACCCCGCGAGATCGCCTAATGTTAACCCAACACTTTCGATTTTTAAAAGCGAAAGAACCTCTCGTGAAAAAGAAAACATTAATATGAAAATTATACTGTAGAATTAAAACGGTGATGTAAATTTACAAAAAAAAAAGTATTTACATGATGTACCCCCCTCGATCCACCATGTAAACACTTAAAAAAAACTTTATAGGTTCCCAGCCTATAAAGCTTAAGTACAAATCTTGTAATTTGTAATTATTAGTTAGAGTTTTAAAGAAAAGCGCGAAAAATATAAGAAAGGTTCTTCCACAACGCCAACCCTTTGAGCTCTAAACAAAAATACGCGAACAACCCCAAAAAAAGGTACCGGAGATATTAACGTAAAAAAAAATACGCTAAGAACTTTATATAAAAAAATAATGACCAAAAATTTTGCGTGCAAAGGCCCCTTAATTAGATCTTAACTAAATATATTATAATAATAATATAATATAACTTAGTAACTATTTAATAGTAATAAAACAATATAACTAGTCTTTTCTCACATTTCATATCAACTTCATTCATATGCACATATCCTTGAATTCGGTAGTGATCTTTTGCAGGTCCTGTTTAGTCTTGAGCAGGTAAGTTTCTGGCAATTTTCTTGGAAAGTGATGGACAACTATGAAAGAAAAATTTATTAATTAATATATTAAATTACTCAATGTTAGTAAAAGTATTCGAGCGAAAATTTTACATCAATACAATCAAAATTAATCAAACTAATAATAAAATAATACTAAGGTCTTCTCACATTTTATCTTGCTTCATGTCATCTCATTAATGCGCATAATCTCGAATGTGGATGTGTGGTGGATCCTGGTGGTCTAGAGTACGGAACTTTCTGAACTCTTTTTCGAAAGATATCTGAAACAAGATCTAAAAAAACACAAATACCCATAAAAATAGGGGTATAAACATACAAACGGGGCCCCGGTAATATTAATATTTAGTAATTATATACCTATTACTAACTAAGGTCTAATTATTACTAATTACCAGAAAACCTCTACAAATATGCATATACTCCTGGCTCTGATTTGGCAGTGCTGGTGGTGTGCGACGCATGAACAAATTAACTCTGCAACGAGATTTAAAAAAAAAACACAATTACCCCTAAAATAGGGGTTTAAACATACAAACCGGGCCCCGGTAATAATAATATTTAATATTTATATACCTATTATTAACTAAAATCTAATTATTACTAATTACCAGAAAACCTCTACATATATGCATATCTCCTGGCTCTGATTTGGCATTGCTGGTGGTGTGCGACGCATGAACAAATTAACTCTGCAACAAGATTTAAAAAAAAACACAATTACCCCTAAAATAGGGGTTTAAACATACAAACCGGGCCCCGGTAATAATAATATTTAATATTTATATACCTATTATTAACTAAAATCTAATTATTACTAATTACTAGAAAACCTCTACAAATATGCATATACTCCTGGCTCTGATTTGGCAGTGCTGGTGGTGTGCGACGCATGAACAAATTAACTCTGCAACGAGATTTAAAAAAAAAAAAAACATAATTACCCCTAAAAATAGGGTTAAACATACAAACGGGGCCCCGGTAATATTAATATTTATTATTTATATACCTATTACTAACTAAGATCTAATTATTACTAATTTTTATTATTAATTACTCCTGGCGATGATTTGGCAGTCCTGGTGGTGTGCGACGCATAAACAAATTAGCTCTGCAACCCTGAAATGATAAGTGATTTAAGCAAATAAAATGTAAGATGATTTATAAATACTATTTAGTAGCCTGATTATAGTTTAAAGTTTTCTATTGCCCTGGTACTTCAAATCAGTGCACGTCTTCTCCTGACGGTTGTAGTAGCAGTTCTTGGTATTTATTCTCCTTGTATCACCAGTTGAGGCCTATTTGCACCAAAATAAATATTTATTTTATTAATTTTTCACATAATTTGTGGTTTTGTACAGTCATACCTTTTTTTTCACTTCAAACAGCACGTCTTTAAGTTTTCTCCGTTCAGGGAGACTCATTGTGCAATTACAAAAATTTTAAATGTATTTGATTAAATTATATTCATTACATACCATCAGAAAAAATATTCAAAATAAATATAAGTAATTTAATAAACAGTTTTTTTTTAATTTTTAAACGAGTAATTTGCATCCATGCATCACGAAACAACTAATGAAATAATTTAAAAAAAAAAACATTAATATTATACGTACTAATTATAAGTTAAATTGTATGGGGTTTGCGTTGCCTCTGGGAAAAACATCGCAAAGAATCCATACACCAAATGAAGAAAAAATTATTAATCAATCAAGTTAATTTATTAACGAAACGCGAACAACTTGAACCTATCGTGGGGGGTAGGCGATAGGAACGTATTTAAACGCGTAAACAAGGCTTTAAAAATTGTTTTAAAAGATATTAAAATTACGAATAAGTTCTCGCACGAATAAAAAGTGAATTATGGACGCAAATAACTCAATGCAAAAAAAAAATAGATTTTTAATTAAAAATTGTAAAAATAAATAAATGTGAAAAAATGCACAATAAATCTCCAAAGTCATACGCCTCTGCGCAAACTACTATTTGAAACCTGAAACAAACAAACAAACAATACATTAATAAATAAAACTAATGCTAGTCAACTGTCAATGTAGAATTTTTAATCAAATTTCATGTTGACAATAGTTTTGCAAATACCACCAAATCTACTATAAACCTAAATTAAATTTTCTCAATTATTTTATATTTATAATATTGTGTGAGAAACAAAATATAGAAATCAAAAAAATATTTACACAATATTAAATTAAATGTCATTAACAAGGTACACGCTACAATCTAAAGATGCATTCGATTGTATTATAAAGATTAAATATAAAAAGTAATATAATAATATTATATTAAATTAATATAGTAAGTATAATAATATTATATTAGAATATAAAAAGTAATTTAAATCGTTTAATATAAGAGAGTTGAATATTTACTTTGATTTATTCGAATTCTTTTATTTACAATTCAATAGTAAATTAAGTCAAATAGAATCAATCAAAACACATTCCATGCCATGTATTCGTAACTGAATACACCAAGTTATTACATAATATGGATTATTTTTAAAAGACTTACCAGTGTGATGTCGATGCCATGAGCTCCAAAAACAGAATGATATGATATCGTCTTTGGATCGGGTTATATAGGGTCGAAAATGTGAAAATTGTTACCAGATGATATTAAAATTCAAAAATTATTATCTAACGGAAATAGTTTTAGGAATAGAATCATAGAGGGTGCAATACAAAAGTAAATAAGCAGTTGTGACTCAGTCACTATCAAACCTTCGTGGCTTGATAGTCGTTGTCGGTTCAGCCGTTTTCCAGAAAATTGCTATGAAAGGTCAAAAATCGGCTCACATAATATATAAACATATATAATTAACAAATCGGATATTCTCACGAAAACATGAACTTACACTTATTTAGGGAAATTAGCATAAAAATTTCAAATTTCATTAATTGAACTAAAAATTAAACTGTATATTTCCGAAAATTAATATTTCCAACTTTGCACATTAGATTTAACACGTTTTATATTTCCATTCAACTTGGGATTAGATTCGTCAATAACGCGTTGTTCCTGTTTTCTTCTCTTCACATTTGAAAAATTTCTGGCAGAATCTCTAGGCTGGGGTATTGATGTTTTGTTCCTGTTATGAATAATTTGCTTAAATAAAATACAATTTTCTCTTTCAATTTGACGAACTTTCGCAGTGGGAAAGGAAACACTGATTTTCGAATCTGCAAAATTTAACGAAATGTTTTAAATAATTTTTGATTTTTTTCTTTCTTTATCAGGTCTGTATTATATAACTACCATATAAATCGACATATGTTTCATATTTTCATGCCAAATACAGATTTTTGCATATTATATCAAATTAATCAATTATTACCTTTATATACTGGCAACTTTTTCCTGTTCTTTGAAGATATTGATGATTTGCTCGAAGGTTGGACTTCTACTTTACTATAAATATAACTATGCGGTAGAAATCTTAAGAATTTATAACATGAAGATTGAAAAATAAAAAATAAAATATTTTCTCACCTGTTTCTTTTATTTTTCGCCTCCGAAGCGCTGGAGCAAGCTTTTGCACGTTTCAGGTTAGTTTCATCCATGTTCTGAAAGTCGTCCTGTGCAATTGGAATAACGCTCTAAAAAAAACATTAAAAAATAAAGTGAAATGATTTTCTTCAAATCGATTAAATGAATTGCATACCAAATACTTATCAAATTTTTCTTCAATTTCCGTTTCTCTTATGACCATTGCCGCCCTAAAAACCCTAAATAATACTAAAAACGACCAAATTTAAAAAATTATTCACAATTTTGCCCACACGTAAAACAAAAACTATAAAAAACAAACTCGATTTTTGGTTTAATGTCAAATTCTTTTATTAATAAAAATATTTTTTGGTTCAATCACAACAATATGAAGAAGAGTACAATAAATAAAACATATAATAAATATTGTGTATTTATTGTAACACGTATTGGCACAAATCATTGTGTTGCTTTTTTAAAAAAGATAAAATAAATATCATTAGACACAGGACATTTCTACATTTCTACATCAGTGCATTTTATAATAAATTTGTTAGAAACATATGCTTATAGTAAATATTAGTAAAATATTCGCTATTGCACTTATAAATACAGTGTTATCTCGATTAGCCGGCCCTGAGTTATACGTATTAACAATTTTCGGAAAGACTATATACTAGAAAAAAATTTAGACGTACTACTTTAAACTATTAATATATATTCTATTTCATGATCAAGATTTCAATTATTTCAAAATTATTTATGTCTCTTAAACAGTGGCAGTTTGTATATTTTTTCTAATGATTTTTTAGATTTATTATCCGAAAGACTGTTAGCAACATTAAATCCGGTTAATCGAATTTTAATACAAATATGAATAAGCTGTTCGATGATATAATCAAAAACTTATATCCTAATTTTAAGTCAAGTTAAGTTAAGGCTTGTAGAACCAATGCTAGCTATAATTTTAAGACTACTCACAAATAAGTTATGCTAAAATGAAATCTAAACTGTTATTCTTGTGAGATGTGCTGCTAACAAGTAAATATTTACTCGCAAATATAATCAAAGTTGTAAGTATTATAGGAAAATAAAAACCTTTAAAATTTCCGCGGGAATTTTGAGAATCACTTGTATAGACATTTATTTTATCATGAAAAGAATAAGTTTAAAGAATTTAGTTTTGAAACAATCACTTAAGTCAGCCTAAAATTTCCGTTGAATATTTAAAAAAAAGTATGTATATGAAATGTGTAAGGCTTGATTGTTCATATATTCACAATTGGTGCAGTTAAACTGCTTAAGGCTTATGTTTAATATATGGCTTTATGTGATTTATATTTAACTAGAAGTATACATTTGTAATTATCTGTATACAAAAATATACAGTTTTAAAAAATAGTTTCAAAATTTATACTATTTTCGCCACATACGACCTTATGTTAAATACGACCAAACAATACAACATCGCCAGTTTAAGATTAAAGGTGTTGCTTTAATGTTCTCTAAAACATTAAGTTCAAACACGTTAAAGATGTCAACATCTTTGGATTAATACTTAAAGTGAATGCGTAAATACTGTATCATATCATATATAATCTTTATCACATACAAGCATGTAAGAATGAACTACTTAGCTCTATTAAAATCATGCCAGCACAATTTGAAATAGGCGCAGAAATAACATTGACTATTCGAGCTATAACTCTGAAAATATAAAATTAGATTCACTAAAATTCTGTTCCTTAAAATTGAAATTACTATTACGATACTTTTAGTACACAATATACTTGTTTTTGGTTTATTATATGTATCACAGAGATGAAGCTATAAATTTAAGGCCCAGGATTATCCTCAGAACGTTGCTTTTTGGTGAAGGATAAGAAAACTTGTTCTAGCGTAGTTTGTCCTAAAGAATAGTCTTCGATGCCAAACTGCGCTTTTCCTGATTCCATAACACCAAACATACGCGACCAAGGAATGTCAGTTGAAGGAATGTAGTAAGTTAATAGACATTGATGTGATTCTCTGAAAATGAGCAAAAGGTATGTGTAATTTATGAGATTTTCTTTTGGCGAGGATAAACAAAAAAAAACATGTAATGTTGAGAGTGCGACAGGTTCTATGGAAAAATCACATGATTGATTATTAAAAAACGCTGAGTTGTGTTTGAAAATTTTGTCGTGCATATTTCTGAATACGATCAATCACAAATGGACAAATAAAATAATATATAATTCATCTTACTTCAGCACAGCTGTCGGGAAATTATCTAAAATAAAGCTGTCGACAGCTCGCATGCAGGCATCCATATCAGCTGCTGTTTGGCTGGACCGAGGGCGTGATCCTGAATTCATTCGGGTCAAAGGAATTGTTTCAGTTGGTGAACGATCACCATGTTCTAAGGAAGCCATTCTTTCTATTTTATTCTTCTTTAATTTTACTATTAACGTGTAACCTGAAATAAGAGTCATAAAACTATCAATATTTCTCTAACTCCGCTAAGAAGATGTGTCGGCGTACGACAAAGTCGGATATATTTATTGTTAACTGATATAAAGCAAACAGTAGTTAATTATGTGTCGTAATAATTACGTTGTAGGATAATAGATATAATGAATAAACTAAACTTAAATCGAAAAAAAAGTTCAGAGTGACTATAGATAAATAAGTATAAATGAGAATGACGTTTTTTCTTTACCTTTAGAGAATTTATTCTTCAAATGTTGCGTTGAACCTAAACATTTAAATTCGCCATTAACCATGACAGCAAGCCTGGTGCACAATGCTTCACATTCCTCCATACTATGAGAAGTTAATACGATACAAACACCATTATCTCGCATTCGACATACAGCATTCCATAAATGACGCTTTGCAGCTGGATCCATACCTAAAGATGGCACAAAATTATTTTAGTTCTGTAGATAAATGTAATGTTAATATTAAAATTCTAACCTGTAGTTGGTTCATCCAAATAAACAACTGAAGGTTCTCCAATCAATGCTATAGCTGTACTTAATTTTCTCTTGTTACCTCCACTGTATTCTTTAATCTGAAAAAAATGATAATTAAAATATTGGTAAATTTATTAATTGAATAAAAAAATGTTACTTACCTTTTTATCAATGTGTTGATTGAAATTCAATTCATGTGCTAGTTTTTTCGCCAATTTTTTCGCAGAATTTGGAGGCACGCCTCTTAGAAGACAAAACATTATTAATGTTTCTCTTCCAGTTAATTCGTCAATGAGGGCGTCGAACTGTGGACAGTAACCTACGGAATAGGAATATAATTATATTTTAATTGCACATAACCAACAAATAAAATTCATTTCATCATTCGTAAGCATTTCATAAAAATGATCGAGTAAGCACAAATAAGATTTAAGATTAGAGATACAAAAATACAATATTTTACCGATAACTTGATGAACACGTTTCATGTCAGTTTTTAAGGACATTCCATTAACCCAGGCGTCACCATAAGATATCATCTCATCGCCGGTCATCATTTTGAATGTGGAAGTTTTACCGGCGCCATTTATTCCCAAAAGGCCAAAACATTCCGAATGTCGTACACCAACACATAACTGGTTTACAGCAAGGAAATCTTTGTAATATTTGGTAACATCTTTTAATACCAAAGCATGTTGTGATATTTCCGAATGGCTAAGAGCGCGAACCATATCTTTTTCAACTTGTACATCCGAATCTAAAACACCATCTTCACTCTCGGTCGGCGGTGCAGCTGAAACGAGTAATAAAAATTTGATAATATATAAAATAATATTAAAATGTAATTTTTTAAAATTCATTTGAATATATTTGAATTGAATAATGATTAGATTTTTCAGTTATGTGCTGTGATTTGTTTTTTTAATAATGTGCAAACTAATATAAAAAATACAGTCGAGTACGCAAAGTCCTGCATACTGAAGACTTTACACTTAAGTGCCGTCTAAAGAAATTTATTGATGCTTTGTATTAACTTTTTTTTTAAATATCTTGAGAACTAATATATTCAGATTAGGAAATGATTTTATGAATTTCGCTGTGTAAGAAAAATATATTTCTATCAGCTACTATGAACGTCAAAATTTAATATTAATAATACTCCAAATAGTACAATTAATGTTCTCGAATGTGCAAAGTGCATCTCGAAATTCATGCAAAGTGTAAATATATTGTTGGATAGTAGTAGATGAGAGTGAATGATTCAAACAACGCAACACACTTCTATGTTCAAATATTGTGCTTGATTATCTCGTTATTATTAATTTTTCTTACTATTTATTTGAGCTGATATCAAATCTGTCGATTCTGCAGCAACGTAAAAAAACATTTAATAATAAACATTACAAAATATACTAATTAATTAATATCACTTATTAGAACCTTTTTTTATTCAATAACATATACTCACGTTTGTAAAGATTCCGCATTCTGTACAATGCTTTATGACCAACTCTGTACTCCATCAGTATCAGGAAAATAAACAAGAAAAATCCAACTAAAGCAAAATATACAAGATTTCTACCAATTCCTGGTGCCTCCCATTGGAAGAAAGTACCTTCATCTAGAAAAGAATATTTTACATTAAAACATCTAAAACTAAAAAAATGTTATTATGATTTATATTTAGAATATCAATTATAATCAAGTAATCACAGAAGACAAACTACCTACCATAGCAACATCCCGATCTAGAATTAAAGGCACATAGTTGTTCTTGCGTAAGCCCCGGAGCGGCTTCTAATGCCAATTGGCAAAACTGTAATTAAATTAAAATTAAAATAATATTATAATACAAGAAATAAATGAGTATTATTTTGAACCAAAATTGTTATATTACCTTCATGAAACTACTTATATCGTTTAAGTTCTTGAAAGCTGAACTGACGGTGTAATGGGGTATTAATAGGAATACCCAATGCAAAGCTCTACCTATATGATCCAACTTCAAACTAGGTTGATTTAAAATTTCGACAACCATAAATGTAGCAACACCTGCGATAATTAATAATCACCAATGCAATTAGTTTAAAATTTAATTAACTTATATAAATAATAATTGAAATAAATATATTGGTACATAACTTCAAAAAAATAAAAACTATATGTTACCTGCAAATATACTGATCAATGTCATCCTAACAAATCCTGTTGAAGGAATATCGAAAAGGAAGGATGTGACATAAATCAGAGGCAAGACTGAGTATCCAAACAGTAACAGTACGAAAAATGACCGACCTTCGAATGGAATACAGTTATAAATGAAACTAGTATAGAAGTAATTAATATTACTTAATATTTATGAATATTAATTTAATTTATTGATATTAGTTAATAATATTTTCCATAAACAATTTTTCATTGAAGAAGCAAAACTTTGTCGTAATCTAGCGTCAAACGAATAGAGGATAAATAAATTTAATAATTATTTATTTATTTAATTAATTTATTATTTCTATCAAAAATATGAAAAAAATATTCTGTCATCTCAATGATTTTGATATTTTTACCTAATTCTGAGCCAGTAGCAAAACCGTCCTGTTGGAAAGGCGCCACAGTAATGACCCACAATAATGCTGTAACGGTGTAAGAGAGGAAATCCCAAAGAAAACTGCTCACCCAAAAACATGTTACTTCTACCCCTGATACAAATTGTAGATGTTTGGCTTTGCATACTCTTTCCTGCAATGAAATTGTATATGTATGGATAATTACTTTGATTTATCGATATATTGTTTTTATAACGATGGAAAGTTCTATAATCTCATAGATTATACAATAATCGAAATTAAATACGTGACTTTTATTATACTCCGACCAAATATTAAATTTTACTTGATTGAAAAAATACTGATTGTATGTTTTTTGATAAAATCAAAAAGCACATACTATATAAGATTACAATTTGAAAGTAAAAGTAGGAGTATGATATTGTTGCAATAGTTACGATACTTGTAGTGCAAAAAAATGAAGGTTTACAGTTTATGATTTCTATATAAATTTAATAATTAATTTCTCTCGATCGTACATATGTTTCTATCACAAAAACTTCATTCACATCGACGATAGACATAATGTGTGCTTTTTAAATAAAAATCAGTATTAGAATCGAAACGCTTATAACAAAGTAACTTATATACTTATCTAAGATGAATAATAAATACAATAAATATATTAATAATTATAAATATATTATTATTAAGAATAAAAAGTAAAATAATAATACATACTCTGACGCAGAAGAGAATGTAAAAAGCTGCAACAAAAGCCATAGAAAATCCAGTATTGAATGCAAGTTGGAAACCCATATTGTTGCCAGTAGACAATCTTTTTATCTGAAAAGAACATTAGAAAAATATTTGAAAATAATTACTTTTAGGATAAACGTTTCTTGCCTTGAGAATTAAAATACGAAAAAAATAAGTTATAAATGAAAAAATAATTAAATATTTCATAACTGATCTTATTGGAAAACCATATAATTTATTTCATGTTTTTAACCTTTGTATCTTGTGTAAAAGGCAATGGTTCATTTTGAACTTCAATTCCATATTCCGCATCTTTCATCAGGCCCTTTAATATTGCATTGTAAGCCAAATTCAGAGTTAAAGGTAGTGCATGGTATGGTTGGTTGTTGAACCATGCTGTGACTTTTGCATTACTGGATCCTACAAAAGATGCCCCAGCTACGTATTCCATATTATATGTTGGGATTTTTCCTTTTATCTAAATGATATAAAAACACAAACATTCAAAATCACTGTTCATAATTATTTTTTAAATTTAAATTTAAGTACTTACCGCATTAAGTACATGTTTATTCATATCAGTATCAGTTGTGACTTCATAACTATCCTTCGAATTACCTAATAATGTTATATAGTGCTCGATCATTTTATTCATAACTTCGCTATTTGAATTATTTTGTAACACTGTCATTGTTTTGTCGTATTTACTCAAGTCTATTTTTAAGGGCGGCAAATCTTCGTCACCTGAAAAAATATTTAATAAAATTTAATTGGCCTTTATGAAAAATCTAGTATATTAATGTACTTACCTCCCATAGAACGAGCCACTATAACAGTAATGATTAAGCAAGCAATAAGTATAATGTTTTGAATTAAAAATAATAACCAATTTCTGTACCAGATGATAAATTTTTTTATCAACATAGCTCGGAACTGGTTGTAGACTAGTGAGGTTCCTGATAGTAATTTTACTTGGCCTCCTGAAACAAATAAGAAAAATCACAGGATTATTAATTTTTAATTCAAAATTAAGCATTAACTGGCATTAACCTTTATGGTAAGTTTCGTTATGTTCGACATCTGTATCATTATGTATGCCATTGCCGTTTGTGCCATTTGAAGTATCAGAATCTGATGAAGGTACATCTCCACTATGATCCGCGCCGACTTTCATGAATACTTCTTCTAAAGTTGTTAATGATACACCATAACTTAAAAGTCTAAGTTGGCTAGAATGATTTTCTAAATCGCTCAACATGCTCTCAAATACATGACTCTGTCGTTCATCTGTGAATGAAATTTTTTTATTAAAAATCGAACGCTGAGTAATTCGAAAAAATTACAATTATATCAAAATTACCTAGAGAATACGATAATTCTGTTCCAATATCGGTCTCAACTTTAATATCCGGTATATATTTTCGAAGCAAATCAGTAACTTTGGTAACCTCACAGCCAGTGTCTTTGACAATGACCAAATGATAACCTGCCCCAAATTTCTTCTTCAAAAAGAAAGAAGATCCAGCGCACTTCAATTTGCCGCCTGCCATGATAGCAATACGATCACCTAGCAAATCAGCCTCGTCCATGAAATGTGTGGACAAGAGAATAGTACGACCTGAAAGTATGATCATAATATCGTTACCATTATTAGCTAAAATTTAAATATCATTTCAAATATATATTATAGTGAGGACTGACCTTTTTTCTCTGACTGTAGTAAATCCCAAAGAGCTCTTCGTGCTGCAGGATCCATGCCAGAGGTGGGTTCATCACACAAAACAACTTTGGAGCCTCCGCATAAAGCGACACCAACTGATAATTTACGTTGCATTCCTCCTGACAAAGTGGATGACGCACAATCTGCCTATAATTAAAACGTTTTGCATCATGTAGGAGAATTTAAAATTTTTCGAATGCCGGAATTCGAAAAGGTACTACATAAATAGCGATAAACATACCTTAGGTCGAAGTTCTAGCAGGTCAATATAATAATTTACTTCTTTCTGAATGTCAGCTCCTGAAACGCCTTTTAATTTAGCAAAAAATAATAAATGTTCTCGTACTGTAAGATCACCAAATAAAATATTGTGTTGCGGACAAAGGCCTAAAGAATCACGTACACCGCTGATGTCCGTTCTGATATCATGACCATTTACTGTAGCAGTTCCAGAAGTTGGAGGAAACATACCTAAAAATAAAATCAAAGTCAAATTAAAATGTGAATTTAGTAAAGTGAAGGATAGTAAAATTTACTATCGTCAAATGATATCCAGAACTATATTTTTTCTAATAACTTGCCTGTAATCATGGACATTGTAGTAGTTTTTCCAGCACCATTATGACCAAGCAAAACTGTTATTTGATTTTCAAACATATTTAAGTTGAGACCATCGACAGCAACTTTTTTATTACTATATATTTTTCCTAATTGTTTTACTTGTATTCCAGCTTTTAGTCCTATAGGGTCAGGTTCAATTATGTCGTCGTGGGCAGATCTGGCTGATGAAATGTCTTCTACTCCTGTAAAAACAATTTAGATATAAAATTTTTATGCACATGAAGTTTGTATAATATATAGTACACATACATTTTTGAAAAATAAGACTTACCTTTATAACTTTCTCCGCACCAGTAGCTAGCAGTGAAAGGGAAATACCATGGTTGAGGAACCCCATACTCTCCAGGAAATATAGCTTCCACGTATAATGTAATCAAAAAGTAAATAATGCCATCTAAAACCAACATCAACATCACATGGCCCATGTAAAAATCGTCGTCAGGTGTTACTGGTGCCCAGACATTACTCCACTGTACACCTGCGGAAAATAAAATAAACTAGTGGTGCAGGACAAATTGTTAAAACATGACATATTCCGTATAAACATATATTATATGCATTTAAGATGATGGATAATAAGTGAAATATAATATTGACTTTTTTTTTTTAATTTCATGCATAATTATATTATATTTAAAAATTATACCTGCTCCGGTGCCTTCGTGCATGAGCATCAATTGCATTCCATAAGCCATGGCCGTATTTCCAGCAAGACTTGCTCCGATTTTTTGGCCCAAACTCATCGATTCATATTCTTGTTGCATAAACAAATAAGGAGCATAAGACAGGAACCAAGCTAATCCTGATATAGCTGCTGCTGTATTAGCTATAAGAAAAAAAATCACAGATAATGAATCGTGTTGAAAAAGTTTTTGAAAACGATCGACCGGCCAGTTAATTACACCTGTGGAAAACAAGATATAATTAAAATACAAATTAAATATTTACCTTTGGAAAAGAAGACACTTATCATAAAAGAGAAGGTAATTGAAGAAAACATATATAATAGAAGAAAGACAAACAGAACTGTTCCATCAGCATGTGTGAAAACTGCCATATCGGAATCAGCATACCATTGCACCTAAAATAAAAATTTAAATTCATTTTAGAATTAGAAAATTTTGCAATGCACTTCACTCTTTGCCAAAGAAATATTAACTGTAAAATTTACTGCAGTTTTAAATTAAAAAAAATCGTGTTCTAGTTTAAGGAAATGTTGAAAAAGGATAAAAATTAAATAATGAAAGAAAATACGTTAAATTTTTAATTTCTATAATAATTATTTTTAATTTCATAAAAGCAAATTGTAATATACATATATATGTAAATTGTAATATACATATATATATATATATATATATATATATACATACATATAGGTATAGGCATATATATATATGTAGCGGGTTGCCAACACGCATCGCGGCTTGTCAACACGCATCACATGTTACTGGACAGATTGGCCCATATATTGACAGCATAGAAAAAAAAACAAAAATAAATTCAAGTGTCAGATCGGACACGGCTTTTGTTTCTCCCTTGTCGATTTTACTAAAAATGTATCATTCTTGAAACCTTTCTTTTCGATTATAAATAAGAAAATACCAATCACATTTTATTAACGATAAATATGACAACACATAGTGTCGTGGATATTAATCATACTTAAAATAAACCAAATATAAATAATATTTTATGGAATTTATTATTACTACAATTTGCACAATATTGGTATTAATTACGGAGCACCACTACACTTCTATATTTTGGTGACCCCGAGAGTGAACTAGTAACTCACCAGCGAAGGGCCACATCTACTCAACCGCTAACTCACCAGCGAAGGGCCACGTAAACAATCAACAAACTAACCAAGCCAACACGGCATTCAAAACGGCCACGGCCACAAGCAAATAAAATTATCACACAATCTCAACCAAAAGAAATTTACAAGGAAGTTCAAGAATGGCAGTCAGAGATACGAAACAATCTTTTTCATTAGGGCGGAGTGATATAGCGGGTTGTCAACACGCATCGCGGCTCGTCAACACGCATCACATGTTACTGGACAGATTGGCCCATATATTGACAGCACAGAAAAAAACAAAAATAAATTCAAGTGTCAGATCGGACACGGCTTTTGTTCCTCCCGAGTAGTTTTTGCCAAAAAAAATGTATAATTCTTGAAACCTTTCTTTTCTATTATAAATAAGAAAATACCAATAACGTTTTATTAATGATCAGTATGACAACACATAGTGTCGTGGATATTAATCATATATAAAATAAACGAAATATAAATAATATTTTATGGATTTTATTATGACTACAATTGGTATTAATATGGAGGACTACTACACCTCCATATATATATATATATATATATATATATATATATATATATATATATATATATATATATATATATATATATATATATATGCATAGGGTATTAAGAAATAAAAATGATGAATATAATATAGATGTTTCAATTGGGATTATAGCTATGTTATATAGGATAAACGAAAATGTTACATTTTCAATACGGTGATAAAATTTAATTTTACTTAAGAATTTTAACCTAATATGTATATGTACATATACATACGTATATATACACGTGTGTGATGATATATTTCCTCACCTTAACAAGGATTACGATTAAAATACATGAAACTGTCGTGAATGTGAATGTTTTGATAAACCACGCCGTCCAATGCAACCAATTTGGTAAACCCATGATCTTCATTGCTTCTTTAAGTTGTAATTCCTTTTCCGCTGTCACCACCTTTACATTGCAATATTTAATAAAATTGAATCTAATCTAAATACAATTCAATTTGTTTAAAAAATACCTTCACGGTGTTTGTACATGTGTATACAAAACTCAGCATTATTACAATCGAAATAAATGATTGCAAAGCTAGAAGTAAAGGATCATCAATATATTTCGGGTACGGGTAACGATTTATTTCTACCAAAGGTATCGAGGCACCGTTTCCTGCATGATGCTTGACAAAAGCCTATAATGCATATTATTGAAAAATTAATAATAAGTAATATAATACTATATAAATATGATTATTGTACTTGCCATATTTATCATAGATTGAAGTATAAGGAATCCTTCTGAGGCATAACCTGGAACTCTACCGCCGTCCTCAGCCTCAGGGTCTCTTGGTCCTGGAATTTGGAATAGTGGGTATAATAAATTCGTCCGCCAATTATCAAAGGCACTTCGTGGTCCACCATCACCCATTCGGGATTCAGAAGGAAATCGTAAGGAATACGAGATCTTCTTTGGAATTGTTTTTATTCCCTGAAAAAAGTTTTTTTATTCATCTAATATTTCTAGAACGAGTAGTTTCAGTAGTCTGTTTAATGAATATGCTATTATGTACTTACTTGTAAACTATCTCCAAAATCCACACCAGCCAGAGTACATGCCATAGTATTATTAATAGGGCTTAGCAAATATAGAGACATATCGGAAGCGTTGGCAAAAGATTTGAGATCAGGCTTATGGCTTGCATCATGAAACTGGTTCATTGCAATCTCCATCATCTTCTCCATCTCTGCACTGTGAGGAGACCATGCTACTTGCCAATTTGGACAATTGGTAGTTCTAAGAAATGATGTATTATTAGTAAATGTACTAAATTAAATTTATCGCATGCATAGTCCAAAATTAATATTAAGTAGCTTAGTGTTAGTTTACGAATAACTAGGATCAGATATAAAGTTAGTAAAAGTAAAGTGAGTTTAGTGCATATATAATCTAATAAATTTACCATTAGATTTACAAAAATTAGGAAATAATAGGAATGGAAACTAAAGTATTGACTTTATATTGATCGTAGAGCACAATCAATTTGCGAACGCCTGGAGATGAATATGGTGAAGGTTTATAAAAGTTAATTTTTATTTTATGAATTTTATAATTTGATAAGTAAATTAGTTGGATAACCCCTGGCATCTGTAGCGTTTAAATTTCTAGATTTAGATCCTAAAATTTGAATAATACAAAGACAGCTATTATTATTATCATTTAATTCGAAGCAAATTTACCAATACTTAATGGATTACCAAAAATCGTATTGTATTCAAGAATAACCTATCAAAAACAAAAATTGTTAATTGAATAAATAATTAACGGTTGAATAAAAAATATTTACTCATTTCACAACAACCAGGTGAAAATTGTAATACCAAAAATTTTCAAACTAATCAGAACAAATATCCCCAGAAAATATCGCAAAGACTCATTACTAGGAAACTTAACACAAAAAATATACCTCGGATCAGCAGAAGTATGATTTCATAAAAATTCACAATTATCAGTTCATTTTTAAGTAATTAAATGTTTTATCATGTAGTTTATGACTAACACTGGTATCGAAACAAACAAATAGTCAGATGAACAGCCAAGCAAAACTAACATTTCAAACATTACCTTACCAATATAATTTTATATTAGTTAACTATTATTAGAATCAGAATATCTGTTAACAAATAATAAAACACTATAGTAATCTATAATGATTAAATGAGTCAGTTACATATTTTCATTCCAAAAATTAAAAGCACATTCGTTATCGATTGAAGGCAAGGTCTAGGCATTATGAATATTTGATCAAAATAATTACAAAGTAATAACGAATACAAAAACACTAGTGTAACAGAATGATAAAGTTTGATAAAGCTAAGACATTATTTTCATGATAAATTGATTCACTAAAACGATAAACATACAAAGTGAGGTCTAACAACCTTGAATTGGCGCCTTGATGTCGGCTGGAAAAGCTCTATATGGGAATATCCAAAGCCGAATAAGGGTACATGGTATTTTCCAAGAAGAATTTATGCAATGTTGATGATTTCATATTCAAGTGAACGAGAATCGGATTAGATTAATAATTAATTAATAGAATGTGATTGACTGATAATGTAGACACTTGTATATAGTGTAAAGAACTATTATGTAATAAGCCACTTAAGTTTCCCAGATGTCTTACTGGAGCAAATTAGTAGTAAATTTAGTATACCAAATGCAATTTTGATTATTGGAAATCAACCCTAATAGTAAGTACGGGTAAAAAAACAAATATTGACTAGCAAAAATTAGAAATTATTATGCCATCAAGAACTATAAATCAAATATTAGCCAAAAATTCTTTAACTAATAAATTTAAATAAAATTGAAAACCATAAATATTGTTCGATTTTATATATCTGAAATAGATTCATTATTATCTCTTTGCATATTATTTAATCTGTAGTCTAATTATAAGAGCGTCTTAGACAGTCCAGGTGAAACATATTATAATATATAATATATTAAAAATAATTTATTATATTGGTATATAAATACAAGACAAATGTATATTAATACAAGATTTTTGGCAATTGCTTTAAGATAGCTATGATCACCCATTTCCAAATTATAGAAACACCAATGCTAATCATTTTATGTTCATTAATATAGATGAAATGTACTTTAAAATATTAAAAATACATTCAAAATTGGCTTGTTCATAAACTAAATAAACGTAATTAATTATTTAAAATATTTAACAAAACTAAAACTCATTATATAAAGATTTAACCCTTTCCAAACGCGAATTCCGGAATTTGTATGTATTTTACCTCGGCGGTATCCGAGACGAAAGGGTTAAACTTCATAACTCTTTAGAAGTTTTGTAGCCCATATTATAGTTAGAAAAGCTCAGGTAAATGTTCGTATTATTTTTTCAGAAAAGCTTCAACTATATAATTTTTAATAATGTAACACAAAAACTGGAACAAAAATATAATATATTATAGTATATCTATACTTTTTATCTATGAAGTAAAACATACAAAAACTAACAAGTATAAAATAATTTAAAAATGGGTTTCGCATATCATCGTACTAGAAATAAATTTCACTCAAAAATTTAGTAGAAGTGGTTGAAGAATTTTGCTGAATATATGGGTAATTATAAACAAAAATGTTATTTTTGACCCAACTTACAAAGAGTTTTAAAATATTTTTCATAGAAATAGCACAATAGATATAGCATAGCAAAATTATAGCCTATTTAGAACAATTAACTATTTAACGTCTGCATATATTCGAGTACAAACAAAAGAAAATAATTTAATATAATATTTATTATTAGCTGTACTGTAGTTTCTATTTTTTTATGTATTCTACAATTATTTTTATAATGGTTTCACTGGTACTATTATGATCATATCGCAATGATAATGCACAAAAATCATATCTTCGTCAAAAATCTATCGACATTAGTACTAAATCCTTTTAGTTGGATATTGCAATTCATAAACGTAATGTTATGAAATAATTAATGTAATAACCGAGTTCACTTTGTACGTTATTGATTTTAATTTGCTAATGTATGAAATGAATATATTAAAATATAAATTGACACGCAATTACATTTCTATGTAAATATAATTTATATTTTTATTTTGTATTTATATATTTATTTAAAATGATTAAATATTTTTAATATAATGATTCTATTACTTAAGTTATTAATTTTGAAAGGTTTCATTATATTCATTACAATTAAATAACTTTAATCAGTGAAAAACATAAAAATCTGTAAAGCAAAATATCTCAATGTAAATGATTTATTGCACAAAAGATGCAGAAAAACCAAACTTAAATCAGCCTTCAAAAACCAAACACAAATGGCACAAAAGGCAGACAAACAAAAGCATTCTTACCTTTTATGCAAAAAGATGTCTTGAAAGTGGTTATCAATAATTTATATCTATGTATTAACAGTAGTAATTAATAGTAAATGTAATTTATTGTCAGTGATACATGATCATATTTCTATAAAACGCATTCTAAAACATGCAAATTAGGTTTATATAATACAATAAAATAAAAGTAGTACCTGTCTCTGAATTTCCAGCGGTTTCTGGAATAATATGTAAAAATTAATATCACAAATAAATTAATTAACTTCACCTGTATTTATTGTCAATCAAATCAATCAAATATTGATAAAAAGTCTTAATAAAAAATACAAGATAAATAATGGTCGCATATGAATTCAATATACGCCATGCTGAATTTTATCAACACTATATTTGGATAAGCAAGTAAGGTAAAATTTAATTAAAAATTAGATAAATGAAATTTATTTTTGAAATTGAGAAAATAAAAATAATTTGTTCACAATGATTTTATGTAAAAAAAAGCATTTAAGCAAAATTTTCTTATGATAGTTTCAATGAAAAGCATGACAAAACAGGTAACATTATTAAGCACAAATTTATTGAAAGCATAATTATAATTAAACAACTAAATCCGACTTACGTATTCGGGAATGGTAAATCCACTAAAGGATTAAAAGGTTGAAACATACTAACAGCCTTGTTTTCTGGTTCCACTAAACTCCTGATCAGCACCAGGAGACCACTGAATAGGACAGGTGCCAAAATTTCGACCACTGTTTGAATTTTGTGCCTCCATTGTAAAAGCCAATTTTTCCACAAGAGCAAACAAAATTTATCCCAATTCCGCGCCATCACGCGAAATTTAAATTCTGCAGACACCTAACACATGAACACCAGAGCCTGAACTCCCAAATGATAAATGTCCAAAAACTGTTATCACGCGATTCGACGAGCAAGGTTGTCGATAAGTTGCCAATCGACGAATTTTAGATAAGGTAGATAATCCTTATCTATTTTACAATAGGAGTTTTGATGGTGAATAATATGTGCGCCATTTATTATGATCGATTAATCATTGACGTGGTATTTTAAGCTCATGTCACTTCTAGATTCATCCGTTGATTATATCAGATGCATGCAGGTGTGTCTTTGACATAACCTGGCGAACATGAAAACAAAAGAGCAACAATTAGTTCCAGAAATAATTAGTTTATTTCATCCATAGATAAATAAGTATAAATGGTAAAGATAAATAGTGCAATCCATAGATAAATAAGTATAAAAGGTAAAGATAAATAAGTAAAATGGTGCAATCATAGTGCAACCTAAGGGGGCGTCCACTAATCACGTAAGGTTTTTAGAGGAAGGGGGATTTGACAAAAAATCACTAAATATCACGTGGTGGAGGGAAGGGTATAGTAAGAAATCACGTGCATTTATTTTTTAACTGTTTTTTTTTTTAAATCAAGCATTTTCAAAAAATTCAAAAAACTTACAGTTTTATCACGTAATGTTTGGTGGGGGAGGGGGGTATTTTTGAATATCACCATTTATCACCAAGGGGGAGGGGCGGTCCAAAAATCCTTAAAAACTCGCTCACGTGATTAATGCACGTCCCCTTATAAAAAAAACATAAAACTCATTGCATACTATAATTTATTTCATCATGAATGCTCTCATGAATAACTAACCTATACTAGATGAAAACTTTTTAAGTTAAAAGTAACAAGCTGCATGTGACTATATATCTAACAACATTTGATAGACATCAATTTTTTTTATTTCACTTATATATGTATGTATATTATATACATCATTTTCCAATGATAAGAATAAATCTCTAGCTGTATTTATTTTTAAAATCAGAGCATTTCTCTATTTTATATCGAAATGAATTCGATTAAAAGATTTTATATTAAAAACTAGTGGCCTTAAGGCAAATTGCTGGAACTTCCCGTACCGTAATGAAATATTCGAGGAATATTAAATATTTACAAATAGATTATTATAAATACTGTAACTTATATATGTTTACAGAAAAGTAAATAAAAAAAATTAATCAATCGAATTTAAATTGAAGAACATGGTCTAATATTTATAAGAATTATTCAAACTGAATTGCAAAGTTAAAATTATCGATTTGAAGTATATAAGTAAGCTTTAGAACTTTAGCTAGAATTAAAATTAAAATTTGAATAACTTTTGATTATCAAAAAATAATTTTCAATTTGGATTTTTTTTTCAAAAGCAATCGTTTCGTCAACACAAGCAGAACGATTTTTTTAATCATTCAACTCGGGTGCTTAATTTTCTCAAAAGCTGCCATTTTTTGCACATTTAGCTGGACCTCCGAAACAGCTGGACCTACCCGCTGCACACACATCCATTTTTATGAGGTATGCCAAAATGTTCAGAAACTTTCAAAACGTGAAAAAAATGCAACAAATTTCAATTTCGATTTCTACGAAACGAAACGAACTTTCCCTACAATAACTACCCTACCACTTCAACTTTCGATAGATATCAAAAAGTTTCTTAATTGACTCATAAATATAAATTATGTATTGCTTACAGTGATTCTTGGTTCATTTTCCAAAGATATTTTTTTCCAGGCAAATGGAATCACTTATCTGAACTTTAGGAATATTTTGTTTTAGATTTTTTTACTTGTTTATTATTAAATACGTGATACAAATTTACTATTCAGTTCTCAGATTTTAAGATATTTTATTGATCCATATACTTTCAACACTAATTGCTTTAAAGATTTTATGCTTGAACTTGAAATTTGATTTAAAATACAATAGTTTACAATATAAAACATATATTGAAAGATATTATATTAGTATTTTTTTAATAAAAATATAGTTGCTTAATTTTTTTATTAATATTCCAGATAAAATATATTAACCCTTTCCACTAGCGAATTCCTAGATTTATATGAATTTTGCCGCCGAGGCAAACATTTGTAAATTTGAAAATTTCAAAATAATGGTATCTTCACCAATAAATCTGAACTAGCAAGTTTATAATCAGAGTTTTAACAATATTCACAAATTAGAATTTATATTAATATGATTTGCAGTAAAATGTTTTTTGTATCACTTGACATACATTATTTATTATATAGTATAGTCATAGACCTTATACAGTTACATGGACTGCTAGTCCCCATACATTTCTCAAGTACAAAAGTGTCAAAAGATGTTCTATGGTATGAGGGCATACGAGGGTATTTTCGCGGCCGAGATATGTCAAACTCGATCGCTTAAGGGGGTATTCTACTGTAGAGTCATGAATTTCGCCCGGTTTTTGAAGCGCTGTATAAAGGAAACAAATAATATTTTTACTATCGATTTTTTTATCATTTGTTTATTGATATTTTATCATTACATCAAAAAATTGTTAGAAAAAAAAAAATAAAATTCACAAAGTTATGAGCAGTCAAAGTGGAAGTTCCCCAAAAAAGAGGATGTCCTGGCGTACATGATTCCAACCCTCCTGGTGATTTGAAACATAAAAAATAGATGGATTCTTAATTATAATAGATGCCGCTATCGTATGAACCTTGGATAAGTTAAAAAAATGGTTTTTGTTTGAATGGCGGCAGTTTGAAAAAAAAATTATTTTTTTTCATGTTTTTTTAGCAATTCCGTATTTTTTAAAAATACTAAATGAGAAGTTATAGTTTTGGGCAAGGTCCATACGATAAAGCGATGTATAGAGAAGATCCTCTCCAAATTTGAAGTAAATCAGTTCATTAGAACTCGAGATATCCTTACCGCCAGATCGAAAACAGTAGTTTCGAGAAAAACGCGTTCAAAGTTTTGAGACAAGTCGGACCCGAACCGAGGCCACGTCTCTAAAACGGCTATAACTCAGGAAATAATATTAATTTTGAAAAATCCTTTTAATGACATATTTTTGAATAACTAAACTTTGAAAATATGTAAAAAAAAATTTTTCGATTTTTTCAAAATTCTACAGTAGAATACCCCCTTAAACGTCAAATGAAAGTCCGTGTGCTCGAAATTGTTGGGAAAATATTATTTAATATACAATTTATGTTGAACTAATGAATGCAATGAACTATTTATTTATTTATTTATTTTAGTTATACAAAGTGTTCAAGGGAAATTAGAAAAAAAATTCAAAAAACATATTTAAATTCACTGAAAATAAGAACAGTTGGCTAGAGCTATTATGGGAAATTAGAAAGAAATAATGAAATATTTGTTTAAATGTAATATATTTATTATTGGTGTTTAAAAAGCACAATTTTTGTATGAAAGTGGCGTACATATTTATCAACTTTGCTTTTTTTATTTTCTTCGTGGTGCATTCTAATTGTCAAGTATACTTTTGCGACAAAGTCGATTAGGTCATGATAATGTTGAACAAATTGCTGGAAATGGCTTTCTTTATTTTTAGGAAATCTGTAGATAAACAAGAAAATATTGCCTTGCATATGGCTGTCCAAAAACTTGTTATATGTTTGAATTAACTGATTAAAATAGATAAAAATATCTAAATATATTATATGTAAAAAAATATTTCCTTATTTTTTCTAATTTTCCATAAGTACATTAAATTGTATACTAAAAATATAGAATTATTTCCAGTTGAGTTTCATATGTATAGGAAAAATTGTATGTAAACAATAGTTGTAGAATGTATTTCCAGGATATATTTTTATTTATATAATTTAATCTATGCAAAGTTAAACTTACCTATGAAAAGTTATTCCTTTGCTTCGTGAATCAGGCACTTTTCCACAGACCAAACACATTTTAGAAGACATTTTACTTTTAACAATTATACAACAGGTATATTTTTATCCTCTTTTAGTTTGAAAACCCGAGCGATCAAACATCACGTGAACCCAAGTAACCGTAAAATTTAAGCGATCGAGACCATTCGACTAATCTCGGTAAAGTTCGTATTCGTATTTGACATATCTCGGCCGCAAAATTACCCTCGTTGCCCTCATACCATAGAACATCTTTTGACACTTTTTTATGCGCTCAACTAGCAGTCCATGTAACTGTGTAAGGTCTATGAGTATAGTATACAAGCAAATTCAAAATTCCTTAATACGTGTATAATTCGTGGTTATGTGAAAGGTTTGTATTTCTGGAAATAAGTTTTCAAACTGAATGAAATTAATACTAATTTCGCTTGTAATATCATAATCCTAAATTCCATTTTTGCCTTTTATTTTTATGTATTAATAGTCAATTCATTTAAGCTCAAAAATTAGGTAAGAATCTCGGAATTCGGGATACCCAGCTGTAAGTTTGTAAATACTTGTATATTGACACCTAGAAGTTGTCTCAAAACCTACATATGACAGGGTGTTCGCAATATATGTAGGTTTTGAGACAACTTTTAGGTGTCAATATAGAAGTATTTACAAACTTACAGCTGAGTGTCTCGAATTCCGAGGTGAACTTACTATAATAAATATGATTTTGGGATTTTAGAATTGATAATAGAAATTCGCCTGATTTGATTGCCAGTTGTGTAAAAAAATTAATATGATTCAAAAAATCTTTGAAATCGGTTGGACTGTTTTCTGAAAAATGCAAATAGAAAAAAAAACACGCCCACATAGACCATACTTTGGGCACTGTGGTATTTTATCAATGTGAGAATGTAATTATTCCGAGTAAAAAGTATGATAAAAATGTACGTAATTATAAAAATACCTGTGCTACATTCAACGATTAAACGATTCTTATGAAAAAATAATACATATCAATCAACCAACTAATAAAATATTAATTCAAATAATGCATTCTAGACGCAATTGTAAAATTGAAGAAAACCTTCCGAAACTTAGTTACCAAGTAATATAACTGAAATCGTAAACATATGTGGTGAATGTAAAAATATCGATCGGTTTGACCGAAATCTATTTCGCTACAATTCTGTTTGTGGTCATTAAAATGAACAATCTAAAATATGAATTGTATAATTAAAACATGAAATATTGGCCGTATATCTAGAATGGCTGCACTTGCCATTAAAAAGAGTCAATAACATCTATAAAATTTTAATAAATAAAATATTGATTAGCCATCCAAATTATTCTACTTGTCTTCCCTAAAACTTCGCAAATTCATACATAATTGCATACTACATAAAAAACCTTGTAAC